TCTTGGAAAAAGGAAAACCAGGGTGCTCCTCAGATCCTTTGTTCAAGATGACCATGCCCTTCGCCCACGGTCACAGTTCTCAGGGCAGCCCTTTATCTCCTGTTTCCATTGACTATTCCTCCCTCTCATTTCTTTAGATTTAGAGATGTTAACCATCCTGTAGTACTGATTACAGGTGATGATACTTTTACACTTGCAAAAAATTTTTAATTATTTTAAAAATTATTTAACTGGCTCTGATAGCGTAGTGGCAAGAAGTTGTCCTGTAATCCTGAAGGCACGTAGTTCAAATCCACCAGCTGCTCCATGGGAAAAGGATGGGAAATCTCCTCTCATGCAATTAACTTCCTGTGAAAACCTTCCAGAGGGTCAGTTATATACAGTATACAACAATAACAACAAGCATATAACCTAGTTATTCTTTTGATACAATGTTAAGTGAGCAAATGCCACATTTATGGGTCCTGTCTTTATACCCAAACAAACTGTGGTAAAAGCTACTCTGTTTTATAAGAATCTTATTTATTCCAGTTGCTTCTTAGAGTTCTGCTTTCTTTCTCCTTCTTTTTCTGGCTCACACTCAACACTCACATGATCTAAACTTGCTTGTTGGCTTCAGTAGTCTTCAGAGTTAGGATTGGGGAAATTAGAGAAAGAAGCAGCTAAGATTCCTTGGAGACAGTAGGATCTCCTAGTCTTTCAGATATTTATTTGTCTTCTTCTACTCTTTGACTGTAGCTATCCACATTCCTCCACTGTTCGTAGGGTTTTCTGAGGCTTGTGGATGGCCAATCCTGCTTCTTAGTCTGTCTTAATCTGGGAGCTCTACTAAAACCTGTCCACCAAGGGTAACCATTGTGGCATTTGATGCACCGGTGACATTGATATCTTTGATATGTGATATTGGAGAAGCTATTGAACATCCCATGAACTGCTAAAAGAATAAATATGTCTTGGAGAAAGTGCAGCCAGAGTGCTCCTTGGAGGCAAATATGATAAAGCTTCACCTCACATACTTCTAGGAGGGGAGAGGCACATGGTGCTCAGCAATGCAGAGAGTTAGCAAAACGGAGGAAGACCCTCAACCAGATGGATTGACACAGTGACTGCTGCAATGGACTGTAGTGTGTCAGGAAGTGAAGATGGCACAGGGTAGGTCAGGGTTAAAATCTGTTGTTCATTGGGTTGCTATGGGTCGCACTTGACTCAATGGCATCTAACAACAACTCTTTTGACAACAATTTCATTTTACTTGGACCCACACTCTAATATTAATGTTAGGAGCAATAATGCCAGTTTACAGAGTAAAGTGAGCCTGATCCAAGCCACAGTATTTTCAATTATTTCGTATGCATATAAAAGTTGGACAATGATTAACTATAATTGAGGGAAATGTGACATAATCTGAGATGTGATTAGTCAAATAGTAAGGGAATTGGGTTGGGATACAACACTTCAAATTAGGTCACAACCCTAATCTGATGTAAGGCAAATTTCCCTGGGGTGTGGCATGCATCCTCTTTTTTTCTTTTTCTCCACTTTATTTTTTTATATT